GCGTCAAGGTAGGGCCGAAAAGACTCTCGGCCGTAGCCATCTACCGGAAAGGAACAGTAATGGTACATGCCAGCAGCTTTGCTCGATCTGACCAAGGATGGATCAGAGCACCAAAATTCCAAACCGACTTCAACGAGAGTTGTAAAGATACGCATGATCAGTGGTTAGTTGTGCCCGACGCTGTGATGCGCTGCGCTCCTCATCTGCAAGGCTGGTGATGAGCCTCTAAATGCTAGAGTGGTGACAAGTCACTGCGCTGGCAAAACGACCATGCCACCCTTCCACCCTTCACTAGCTTAGGTTAGCCTCGCCAAGTTAGGCCAGTAATATCGGGATGAGCGTCCATGATTGAGTCACCAAGAGCAAGGATTTCGTATCCAGAGTTTCCAGTTTTTCAGTAAAATTCGGCTACAGGGTCAGCGATGAAAATGTAACTTCGTCGAAATGTACTCGCCAAATGTGTCAGGCGGTGAAAAAATCACGCTGTGAAACTGCACAGTCGCGAATTGTCACTCGATGAAATGACCACCTCGAAATGTCTCGCGACGAAATGTCACTCGCCTAACTGACCGGATACCAGCGAAGGGTCAGTGCCGAAGAGAATCTTGTTGTTTGATGCCAGTTAAGACACGAGGAGAAGACGTCCTTTCTCCAAGCCATCTTGGTCATTTTTCTCAATCTGCGGGTGCATGTCGACCAAGATATGTCCGTGATATACTGGTGAACTGGAGTCCTGGCATCTACACGATTTTGCCGCCCCTAGCTAACCAATGTTGTCAGTAGAACCGTCGGCGTTTCCTGATCACGGCTCGGCACACTCTTTTCTGTTTGACCTCGCAGCTTTCACCCTGCGAGTGTGGAGTTTCCTGGCCACAAATGAATTCCTTAGTCATGACCATGATGACCATGATGACAAGTGACTGGTATGATTCCTGACTGGTATGATTCCTGACTGGTATGATTCCTGACTGGTATGATTCCTGACTGGCCTGAGTCCTTAGCTTGAGTCAACACGAAGGTAAACTCTTCACTTGGAACGCTTGCTGTCTCCTCGGCCCTTTCTTGTTGCACTTGCAGATATGCGCACGGCTGCCAGGTTTTGTTGGTGCACTCGAGTGCGCACGGCCGACCTCGATGCCTTAAAACTAAAACAGCAGTTCTCCTTGGCCGATTCTCACCATCGAGAGCTCACTTTCTCGGTCTTGGAATTCTCTATCGGTTTACCGTCCCCGATTTCTATTTTTCTCTTCATTCACTTGTTCGCACGTCTTCAAGTTTGAGTGATTTCACCATCCGATCTCAGCCAAACGAAGGCCAAATCGAAAATTCGAGACGGTAACCCTCCAAAGACCTACCTTGTGAACATGAATCCACAATGGCCTAATGTCTAAAACCAACGAGTACAGCCAAGTTCAGCTCAGAAAACACTGCAAGAAACGGCCCGTTTTGCCGTGCGCTGATTGGTCAAATCCAAATGACCGTTATTGACGCTTTGTACGGTCGTGGTGAGCCCTGACAGTCCATTCATAAAAAAGATGGACTTCACGCTTTTCGCCGGAAATGGGTCAAACTTTGAGTTTTGTAGAATCTTTTTTGGCAATTCCCCATGGAATGTTCTTCCTTATCACTGAAGTATGTTTCTAAAGTCGATTTCTCCAAAAAGCAAACCGTACCAAGAATAGGATTTCGGCCGGGTTTTGCTCCGAAACCACTGAATTGTGAGAATCCAGGCCGTTCACTCTACTTGCAACAGTTCATTGTGCGGTTCAAACCCCAGTTGAGGTACCTTTTTCGGACCCCTTTTCAAGTTTCAAATTTCGTGGCATTGCACCATGTACTAGTATAAAATCGCAAAGACGGGAGCTCGCCAGAGCAAGGGTCCATCTTTTTATGAAATGGACTGTAGATCAAGTTGTTCAAGTGCAGTGCGATGTACAACAAAGCAGAAGATCAGACCTGGCATGCTGGATTGTGCACATTTTCATCCTGCCCTCGCACGTATTGTATACAGCAGTACATGCGTCGGTTCAACATCGTATTCCGTTGTATACGCCGACGTCGCTTCACAGGCAGAAATTCGTAAAGGGGGCGGGGATTAGAGCGGGGGCGGATCAACGGTACTTTACGGTATATGCGAGTTCCTTCTCATGTTTATATGCAAGTTCCTTCTCATGTTTATATGCAAGTTCCTTCTCATGTTTATATGCAAGTTCCTTCTCATGTTTATATGCAAGTTCCTTCTCATGTTTATATGCAAGTTCCTTCTCATGTTTATACTGTAAGACATGTTATTATAACGAGTCGCAAATTTAACGATTGTCCAAAATTCATAGGTTAACGAGAAGATATGTTAACGATCTTGCAGTATTCTGCCATATCCACACACAGCATATATGAAGCAGTACGGCCTCAACGGATCTTATTATAACGAAGAAATGACATCCGTTAAAACGTTAGATTTGCTTCCTCGTTATATATACATGTCTTACAGTATGCAAGTTCCTTCTCATGTTTATATGCAAGTTCCTTCTCATGTTTATATGCAAGTTCCTTCTCATGTTTATATGCAAGTTGCTTCTCATGTTTATATGCAAGTTCCTTCTCATGTTTATATGCAAGTTCCTTCTCATGTTTATATGCAAGTTCCTTCTCATGTTTATATGCAAGTTCCTTCTCATGTTTATATGCAAGTTGCTTCTCATGTTTATATGCAAGTTGCTTCTCATGTTTATATGCAAGTTCCTTCTCATGTTTATATGCAAGTTCCTTCTCATGTTTATATGCAAGTTCCTTCTCATGTTTATATGCAAGTTCCTTCTCATGTTTATATGCAAGTTCCTTCTCATGTTTATATGCAAGTTCCTTCTCATGTTTATATGCAAGTTCCTTCTCATGTTTATATGCAAGTTCCTTCTCATGTTTATATGCGAGTTCCTTCTCATGTTTATATGCAAGTTCCTTCTCATGTTTATATGCAAGTTCCTTCTCATGTTTATATGCAAGTTCCTTCTCATGTTTATATGCAAGTTCCTTCTCATGTTTATATGCAAGTTCCTTCTCATGTTTATATGCAAGTTCCTTCTCATGTTTATATGCAAGTTCCTTCTCATGTTTATATGCAAGTTCCTTCTCATGTTTATATGCAAGTTCCTTCTCATGTTTATATGCAAGTTCCTTCTCATGTTTATATGCGAGTTCCTTCTCATGTTTATATGCAAGTTCCTTCTCATGTTTATATGCAAGTTCCTTCTCATGTTTATATGCAAGTTCCTTCTCATGTTTATATGCAAGTTCCTTCTCATGTTTATATGCAAGTTCCTTCTCATGTTTATATGCAAGTTCCTTCTCATGTTTATATGCAAGTTCCTTCTCATGTTTATATGCAAGTTCCTTCTCATGTTTATATGCAAGTTCCTTCTCATGTTTATATGCAAGTTCCTTCTCATGTTTATATGCAAGTTCCTTCTCATGTTTATATGCAAGTTCCTTCTCATGTTTATATGCAAGTTCCTTCTCATGTTTATATGCAAGTTCCTTCTCATGTTTATATGCAAGTTCCTTCTCATGTTTATATGCGAGTTCCTTCTCATGTTTATATGCAAGTTCCTTCTCATGTTTATATGCAAGTTCCTTCTCATGTTTATATGCAAGTTCCTTCTCATGTTTATATGCAAGTTCCTTCTCATGTTTATATGCAAGTTCCTTCTCATGTTTATATGCAAGTTCCTTCTCATGTTTATATGCAAGTTCCTTCTCATGTTTATATGCAAGTTCCTTCTCATGTTTATATGCAAGTTCCTTCTCATGTTTATATGCAAGTTCCTTCTCATGTTTATATGCAAGTTCCTTCTCATGTTTATATGCAAGTTCCTTCTCATGTTTATATGCAAGTTCCTTCTCATGTTTATATGCAAGTTGCTTCTCATGTTTATATGCAAGTTCCTTCTCATGTTTATATGCAAGTTCCTTCTCATGTTTATATGCAAGTTCCTTCTCATGTTTATATGCAAGTTCCTTCTCATGTTTATATGCAAGTTCCTTCTCATGTTTATATGCAAGTTCCTTCTCATGTTTATATGCAAGTTCCTTCTCATGTTTATATGCAAGTTCCTTCTCATGTTTATATGCAAGTTCCTTCTCATGTTTATATGCAAGTTCCTTCTCATGTTTATATGCAAGTTCCTTCTCATGTTTATATGCGAGTTCCTTCTCATGTTTATATGCGAGTTCCTTCTCATGTTTATATGCAAGTTCCTTCTCATGTTTATATGCAAGTTCCTTCTCATGTTTATATGCAAGTTCCTTCTCATGTTTATATGCAAGTTCCTTCTCATGTTTATATGCAAGTTCCTTCTCATGTTTATATGCAAGTTCCTTCTCATGTTTATATGCAAGTTCCTTCTCATGTTTATATGCGAGTTCCTTCTCATGTTTATATGCGAGTTCCTTCTCATGTTTATATGCGAGTTCCTTCTCATGTTTATATGCAAGTTCCTTCTCATGTTTATATGCAAGTTCCTTCTCATGTTTATATGCAAGTTCCTTCTCATGTTTATATGCAAGTTCCTTCTCATGTTTATATGCAAGTTCCTTCTCATGTTTATATGCAAGTTCCTTCTCATGTTTATATGCAAGTTCCTTCTCATGTTTATATGCAAGTTCCTTCTCATGTTTATATGCAAGTTCCTTCTCATGTTTATATGCAAGTTCCTTCTCATGTTTATATGCAAGTTCCTTCTCATGTTTATATGCAAGTTCCTTCTCATGTTTATATGCAAGTTCCTTTTTCATGTACACCTTGTGTTCTAGTCTATACAAAGGGTTTCCATTGCTCTGGAAAAAAGCAATAGCTTGCCGGTTGCCATGTCAACCAGTGTAAGGCCACTCGCTGTACTTAGAGGAGCCGTAGGTAGTAGACCCATGCTTTCCTATGCATGGATACGGTACATGCACAGTTCTGCCAGAAGTTGCTTGCTCTGCCCTGTTTACTGTGTGTGTAGCGCGTGGAGAACAAGATGTCTACATTGGAGACACTGGTAATGCAGGTCAGTACTAGTACATCGTAAACTGTTATGGTCAGGCAGCAATGACAGCAATGGTGCACCTGCTGCTGCTGCTGCTGCTGCTGCTGTTGCTACCGCCTTCGCTGCTGCTGCTGTTGCTACCGCCTTCGCTGCTACTACTGCTGCTGTTGCTACCGCCTTCGCTGCTGCTGCTATTGCTGTTGCTACCGCCTTCGCTGCTGCTACTGCTGCTGCCTTCGCTGCTGCTGCTGTTGCTACTGCCACCTCTGCTGCTGCTTCTGTTGCTACCGCCACCTCTGCTGCTGCTGCTGTTGCTGCTGCCTTCGCTGCTGTTGCCTCCAATGTTGCTGGCTCTGCTGCTACTGCTGCTTACTGTAGTTAGACCAGATATTTATACATGTATATTATATACAGCTTCCAAAACATTCAGCAATCTAGCACTGATTTGGGTATTTACTCCCGTAGCTATGCAAAAGACGTTACTTTTAAGTAACATCTGGCGCTAGCCAGGGTCAACACAGCTTTAATTCCGTCATTGTTTGTTGTGTCATCGGGCATGCCTGGAGCTATCCCGTACGTGTCCCATAAAGCCATAACAAGAATAGGATTTCGGCCAGGTTTTGCCCCCAAAGCACTAAAAGGGAAAAAACCTTGAAAATCCAGGCTGTTCACTCCAAGTGCATAACAGAACATTTGCGGTTCGAACCCCAGTTGAGGCCCCTCTTTTGGACCCTTTGTCAAGTTTCAAATCTCGCAGCACTGCACAGTGCACCACAAAATCACGAAAAATCGCCAAATACGGGAGCTCTCCAGAGGCAGCGCTCATCCTTTTCTGAATGGACTGTCGCGGGTTTTTTGAAATCACGTGTTATATTTTTGAGATGCACTGTAGCGTGGACGTTTATCATAATCTATTCCTAACTTGCGTGTCTTGTCCATGCCCTTGCTGTGTGCTATGTACTGTGTGCTGGTTACTAGGAGCATGAATTCCTGAAGAAACATGTCAACAAGGTGGTATCTATGCGGCCAGATATCTTGCTTGTTGAGAAGTCTGTGTCAAGACATGCACAAGATCTTCTGTTGGCGCATGGTGTCACCGTGGCAACCAATGTCAAGCCCGTAAGTTTATCCTTTCTTTCTTACTGATTACTCACTCATGATCAGGCTGAATGAAAACCTTGCTCACGTGATGACGCCATGCATAGCTCTCATGCATAGCTCTCATGCATAGCTCCCATACATAGCCTTCCATACATAGCATCAATGCATAGCTCCATGTACTGTAAGACATGTTATTATAACGAGTCGCAAATTTAACGATTGTCCAAAATTCATAGGTTAACGAGAAGATATGTTAACGATCTTGCAGTATTCTGCCATATCCGCACACAGCATATATGAAGCAGTACGGCCTCAACGGATCTTATTATAACGAAGAAATGTCATCCGTTAAAACGTTAGATTTGCTTCCTCGTTATATATACATGTCTTACAGTATGCAAGCATGAGAGAGACAGAGACAGAGACAGAGAGGGAGAGAGACAGAGACACACGCACGCACGCACGCACGCACGCACACACACACACACCTCAGACCTCAGACATGCCCATCGCGGAAGCGATGATAGCGAACAGCTATGTTAGACATAGCAACTTGTGCTGGGATTACACCATTCAACAGCTTGCAAGGCTGATGAATTGACCGCCACTATTTTTAGCCTGGTATCCACCACACAGCTGTTTGAAGTGACTTTTTCTGGCCAGTGAATCCCTATTTTTCATTTTTCCATTTTTTCTACACACACACACACCACACCACATACTCCGGCATACACTGGCTGTTGGTAACCACCCAGGAGAATGAAAGAAAAGTCAGGAAGAGTCCGAGAAAGACAAGAAAGACGTGTGCGACCATAATCGTCGGGAATTGAACCCGCAACCTCTCGATTGGAAATCGACTGCACATACCACACACACGCACGCACGCACGCACGCACGCACGCACACACACACACACACACACACAGAGAGAGAGAGAGAGAGAGAGAGAGAGAGAGAGAGAGAGAGAGAGAGAGAGAGAGAGAGAGAGAGAGAGAGAGAGAGAGAGAGAGAGAGAGAGAGAGAGAGAGAGAGAGAGAGAGAGAGAGAGAGAGAGAGAGAGAGAGAGAGAGAGAGAGAGAGAGAGAGAGAGAGAGAGAGAGAGGGTACTTGTGCCTTGTTGAAATTGACGTATCCAGTGTATTGTTGGTTGTGTTCATTGCACAGTCTGTCTTGGAACGCATCTCTCGTCTATGTGAAGTCTCTCAGCTAGTGTCCGTCGATCAGCTTAATCGTTCACACAAACTTGGAATGTGTCAGAGATTCCGCTTGAAGGAATACAAGCTGGAACAAGGTATGTAACATGTTACCTGTACATTAGGTTGCCACTCTGCATCTCTGCCGCTCTGCATCTCTGCATCTCTGCATCTCTGCATCTCTGCATCTCTGCATCTCTGCATCTCTGCATCTCTGCATCTCTGCATCTCTGCCGCTCTGCATCTCTGTATCTCTGCATCTCTGTATCTCTGTATCTCTGCATCTCTGCATCTCTGTATCTCTGCATCTCTGCATCTAGGTAGTGCAAAGGCCGCACACTGTCCACTTTCTAACGGTGTGTAAAGTCTCCGTATCATCAGCATTGTGGCTGATTTGATCTTCTCCTGGTTCTGTGTTGTAGTTTTGCTTTTTGTGTGTGTGCATGCGTACCTGCGTGTGTGCCTGCGTGTGCGCGCATGTGTGTGCATGTGTGCATGTGTGCATGTGTGTATGAGTGTGCATGTGTGCATGTGTGCATGCGTGTGCATGTGTGCATGCGTGTGCATGTGTTGTTTGTTGACTGTAGGCAATGTAAAAACTCTCATGGTGTTTGAAGGTTGTCCACGTAATCTTGGCTGCACTGTAGTCTTAAGAGGTGGATCGAAAGAGGAACTCTGCAAGGTAGGCTTCTGTAGAGTAATTGTCTCTAGTCACTTCACACTCCCCACTCGGACCATTGTCTCAGCATTGCCCCACGTGGCCATTGTCTCAGCATTGCCCCACGTGGCCATTGTCTCAGCATTGCCCCACGTGGCCATTGTCTCAGCATTGCCCCACTTGGCCTTTGTCTCAGCATTGCCCCACGTGGCCATTGTCTCAGCATTGCCCCACGGGGCCTTTGTCTCAGCATTGCCCCACGTGGCCATTGTCTCAGCATTGCCCCACGTGGCCTTTGTCTTTTCATTCCGCAGGACTTGTTATGTGCATCTGGCTGCATGAATGGTTTGCTGTGCTGGAAACACGAGAAGACAAGAAGTGGGCGAAAGTTGTTTTCCCATGACCTGTCAATTTGTCTGGCCCTGGACAAGAATTGCTTGGAGTGATTTGAAAACTGGAGGGAGGGGAAAGTGAATATATCCTGAGGGGAGGGAAATGAATTTGTGTTTGACCAATTATAGAGAACGGTATCCTCGCTAGAGGAACATTGCATCACTTTGCGGGTTGTGGCTAAGTTCTCGTCCGCCTCTGCGTGTTGTTCCTCTTTTGCTGCTTGACTGCTGTGTTAACTGCTGCTTGTGCTCCTTGTGCTGCTTGTGCTGCTTGTGCTGCTTGTCCTGCTTGTGCTGCTTGTGCTGCTTGTGCTGCTTGTGCTGCTTGTGCTGCTTGTGCTGCTTGTCCTAGGTGAAATGTGTTAGCAAGTTCATGGTACACATGGCCTTCTCAACTCACCTGGAGGAAGAGTTGCTGATGAATCTATGGTCGTCCCCACAGAGTCTGAGCAGCACCAGCAGCAGTAGCAGCAACAACAAGAGCAGCAAGAGATCATCAAACACACCAGCCATTGACCATCACTCACTGTCATCTAGCACACCAAGCTGCACACGAGCAGGTCAGATGCTACTATGTCAGATGCGTGACTTGGTTTTGCCGGATGGTGATGACGAGATCAGACAACACATGCCGCCACCAATACAAGCATCGGCGACACACTACTCTAGTAAAGTGTTAAGCGGACAGGAGAACATTGGACTAATAGCTCCTATAGAAGAGAACACATCTGTGGTATGTATCTCTCCTGTTCCTGATAACCGTGATCTGATTACACATCAGCAACGCGTCTCATCTCCCCTTCATCTGTCAGCTACTCTGAACAGTGGATCAGCAACAATGAATGCTATGCTTGACTCTGCGCAGGCGGGTGGAGATGCTTACAGCACGTCTGCAGCAAGCCGGAGTGGGAGTAGTGCTGCTGCTGCTGCTGCAACTGATGATAATGCAACATTACCTCTCACTGCACTGGCGGCTAGCAGTGCTAGCAGTATGGCTGCTACTGCTGCTGCTACTGCTACTGCTACTGCTACTGGTGCTACTGCTGCTGCTACTGGTGCTACTGCTACTGGTGCTGCTGCTACTGGTGCTGCTGCTGCTGCTACTGGTGCTACTGCTGCTGCTACTGGTGCTGCTGCTGCTGCTACTGGTGTTAGTGGCACTAGTAGTAGCAGCAGTGCTAGCAGTATTCATCAAGCAAGTACTAGCCTGCAAGCACCTCGGCGTGCTAATGCACTGACCCTGTGGCAGCTGTTTGGAAAAGCTGTTGAATCGAACGTCCTTTCAGCATCACCGTGGGTGCAGATCCCGCGACCGTACATCAGTCTACCTTCTTCATCATCACTGCTTGCTTCTTCAGAGATGACGACAGCGGATAGGACTACTTCACCACCTCCACATACTCCTGCTGTTGCTAGTACTAGCTTATCATCGCAACTCAAAGCAGCATCCCAAGCATTTGATGCTACCAAGGTTTACCCCAACGTTGGCTACTGGTCATCACTGTTTCATGGTGCTGGTAACCAGTGCACATCATCTCACTCTGCTCTCTCTGCTGCTGAGTATGGCAATAGTAGCGGTGACGGTGGCGAGAATGATTTCAGCCTGTCATGCCAGTGCAGGACTATTTGCCCTGCTTCTACGCAACACACCAATGATGTGAGTGGAGACGAGGACAGCAGCACTCTTCCTCTCGACTCGCCACCATCATCTGCAAGTATGATGGTCAGTCTTTATACTGGCCTTCCTCTTCCTAATGATGACAAGATGAAATCCAGTATTCCTTTCTACGTTAATACACCAAAGAGAAATGATGTGATTCTTTTGGCCAATGCACATGATGCTACATCAGTGTCCACTGTTCCTAAGCGGCAACTCTCTCAACTCTCGTCAAATTCTGCTGACCCATCGTTTTGCCACCCAATGTCCAGCACATTGCTAGTACAGCAGTCTGCATTTGAACGCACCATGACATCGATGGTGTCCAACTTCCGAGCATTTGGAGCAGTGGGAGGTCGCCGTGGACATCCATGCCAGCATATGCTCTCTTCATCAGCTGTCAGCAAGAATTGGAGTGGCGGTGGCGGTGGCGTTGGCAGCAGCAGCAGCAGCACAACGCTGACACCACTGGACCCGCATCAGAGCAACAGGACTTGGTCAACTGAGCAAGGCTTCACTGCCCGCAATGCCACTGTTCCTGCTGCTACTGCTGCTGCTGCTCCTGGTACTGCTAGCGGTGGTAGCAGTGCAACAGGCAGCACCAGTGCGGCACCATCATCAACATCATCAACGTCTGATAGCGATACTGCTGCTGCTGCTGCACAAGCATCCAATCTGGTCGAAGCTTTCTCCTCTAAGATGAAGGTGAGCATGGCTAATGAGCCGATTAGTATTGATTTTCTGTGTGTCTACTCAGTACTGTCCTCCACGTAGCGTACACGTGCATGTGCTCGGACTAGCCTCGAGCATATCAACATTTAAGCTGTAAGTTGTAGACAAACATAAACTTTCTTGCTGTATTCAACGTGTTTGTCTACAACTTACACCCTTGTGCCAGCCATAATCGTGTCAAAACAACACAGTATAGGTAGAACCAGTGTTGTTTGTTTTACCAACGTTGCTGTTCTTGTTGCTGCTGCTGTTGCTGCCGCCGCTGCTGCTGCTGCTTTTTTGTTGCTGTTGCTGTTGCTGCTGTTGCTGTTGCTGTTTCTGCTGCTGCTGCTGCTGCTGCTGCTGCTACGGTGGCTGTGGTGACTGTGGCTACTGTTGTATCTTGCAGAAAGACTGCCTTGATCCTCGTAATCACCAGAGAATCACTGTCTGCTTCAGCACGGATTCTCCACATTCTCCGAATGCTCCAGAGCCTTGCATTCTACCATGGTATTGAATATGGCCGTTGACTTGTCTCAAATACCCCACTGTCCACTGTCCTTCATTCTAGCTCTCTTCAGTTTAGCTACTGGAACATTACACACACAGTGGACAAGCACAGTGGACACGCACAGTGGACACGCACAGTGGACACGCACAGTGGACACGCACAGTGGACACACACCGTGGACACACAAAGTGGACACACACAGTGGACACAATTTGGAGACCTTTGCTTTGAATGACTTTGTCGTTATTTCTGTTCCTCTGAGCAGACTTGGAGACACAATGGTACACAACAGTCATATTGACTACAGGGGTACAGTATTGACTACAGGGGTACAGTATTGACTACAGGGGTACAGTATTGACTACAGGGGTACAGTATTGACTACAGGGGTACAGTATTGACTACAGGGGTACAGTATTGACTACAGGGGTATAGTATTGACTACAGGGGTACAGTATTGACTACAGGGGTACAGTATTGACTACATGGGTACAGTATTGACTACAGGGGTACAGTATTGACTACAGGGGTACAGTATTGACTACAGGGGTACAGTATTGACTACAGGGGTACAGTATTGACTACAGGGGTACAGTATTGACTACAGGGGTACAGTATTGACTACAGGGGTACAGTATTGACTACAGGGGTATAGTATTGACTACAGGGGTATAGTATTGACTACAGGGGTACAGTATTGACTACAGGGGTACAGTATTGACTACAGGGGTACAGTATTGACTACAGGGGTACTGTATTGACTACAGGGGTATAGTATTGACTACAGGGGTACAGTATTGACTACAGGGGTACTGTATTGACTACAGGGGTATAGTATTGACTACAGGGGTATAGTATTGACTACAGGGGTACAGTATTGACTACAGGGGTACAGTATTGACTACAGGGGTACAGTATTGACTACAGGGGTACAGTATTGACTACAGGGGTACAGTATTGACTACAGGGGTACAGTATTGACTACAGGGGTACAGTATTGACTACAGGGGTACAGTATTGACTACAGGGGTACAGTATTGACTACAGGGGTACAGTATTGACTACAGGGGTACAGTATTGACTACAGGGGTACTGTATTGACTACAGGGGTACAGTATTGACTACAGGGGTACTGTACGCACACACGCGCACACACACACACACACACACACACACACACACACACACACACACACACACACACACACACACACACAGCCTGGGGACTTGCTTTGCATTGATAAGCCTGGCTC